CAGCACCAGCGCTTCTTGACGTCCTCGCGGAAGCGGTGGCGCCCCTAGCCCAGCCTCATCCAGGCGTCGCATGAGCGTGGCCACAGCGCCGGCGAGGGGCGAGCGGCGGCTGCTGAAGCCAAGAACCCTCAGGGGAGTCGAGCCGAGGCTGTGGGAGCCCCTCGAGGCCAATCATTTGCCAATGCTCCAGCTGATAATGCGCCGGGGGCCGGGGGGCAGTGGCCGCTGTGGCCGACCGGCCGTCAGCCACGGGCTGCCGTGCCCGGCCGTGCCGGCCCCAATCTATGTGGAACATGGTCCCGTGAAAAAATACTTCGCTTGCATCCGTCTATTGCGCTGGACGAATGCTTAACGAATGTAAGTTCGCTCTGATACGGATGAGGGACGGACTGAAGACGATTGTGAGTCGCTTCTGAGACGAACGGTTCGTCTTCCGTTGCTCTCACGCTCGTCTCACGCCCGTCTAGCGTTCGCTTCGCAGTGGTCTTTCGTTCGTCTCAGAAGTGGTCGCTAATCAGACGAACGGAAGACCAACGAGCTGGCCGTCGCGTCACGTGGTTCTCTTTGCACATAGACGAATGTGAGACGAATGTGAGACGAACGCGACCGGAACGGAGTGGCCATGCGCAGGGATTGGTTTGCCGGACCGGCAGACGATGGGGACGGATGGATCACAGCACCACGAGAGAACATGTTGACTCAAAAATTCTGACCGTCAGGGACAAGTCCGCCAAGTCCATCGGCAGAGCGACGGGCGTGCGCGATGGACGCCGGGGGTGAAGTCGGCCACCAGCATCTGGCATGTTGAGCAGATCATGTACCGCGCGAGAGTTATCAAGCCGCCCGGGTGACCTTCCAAGATTTGCCGGTAGATGGCATCGTGTGCGGAATCGCTGGAAATATCTCTCACGTGGTGCATGATCTGCTCAACATGCATAGTTGTTGGTGGCCGACTTCACTCCCGGCGCCCATCGCGCACGCCCGTCGCTCTGCCGATGGACTTGGTGGACTTGTCCCTGACGGTCAGAATTTTTGAGTCAACATGTTCTCTCGTGGTGCTGTGATCCATCCGTCCCCATCGTCTGCCGGTCCGGCAAACCAATCCCTGCGCATGGCCACTCCGTTCCGGTCGCGTTCGTCTCACATTCGTCTCACATTCGTCTATGTGCAAAGAGAACCACGTGACGCGACGGCCAGCTCGTTGGTCTTCCGTTCGTCTGATTAGCGACCACTTCTGAGACGAACGAAAGACCACTGCGAAGCGAACGCTAGACGGGCGTGAGACGAGCGTGAGAGCAACGGAAGACGAACCGTTCGTCTCAGAAGCGACTCACAATCGTCTTCAGTCCGTCCCTCATCCGTATCAGAGCGAACTTACATTCGTTAAGCATTCGTCCAGCGCAATAGACGGATGCAAGCGAAGTATTTTTTCACGGGGTGTGGAGTTTTTAAGCTCGCAAAGCAGACAAGGAATAGAGAAACGCGTCGCGGGAGGTTTCCAGAGGTTCTCCGCGACTCGGGTACCCGTCCTCGCCTGGGAAGCGCAGACAGTCCGCGCCAGACCGCAGTCGGGCCCCGTCGCCATGAACCGCTCCGCCCTGCTGGCCGCCCTGGCCCTGCTGGCCGCCGTGGTCGATGGCCAGCCAATCTACAACTACCTCGACCGCCCGGGTGAGTGCGACGCGGGACGCCAGCGCGCCCGCCAGGGTGCGAGCCGTCTTGGGGCTGGGGCGCCTTGGGAGGGCGATGATGACCTGTTTCCTCTCCGCCTTGCGCAGTCGACGTGACCGAGGTCATCGCGCCGCTGGACGACTACGGCGGTGAACTCCCCGCCGCGCTGCGGAACCCGTACTTTTTCGAGGGGAGGCCGAGCTTCATCGAGGGGAGGCCGAGCTTCATCGAGGGGCGACCGAGCTTCATCGAGAGGCGGCCGTACATCCTCGAGGAGAGACCCCTCTTCTTGCAGGTCGCTCGGCCCGTGCTCGTCGTGCGGCGCCCCGTCCAGGTCGTCGTACGCCCCATCCAGCACACCCTCTACCAACACGGCAAGGGCAATGTTTAACAGTCCACCAATTGACTCTTAATATAAAAATTCAAGTCAGAGGCGCTAAGCGGACCAACCCGGGCCCAGAAAGCGGATCCTCATCAAATCGCAAGGAGCATTCTGAAGTCTCGTCGGCACGACATGGTTTTTAACCGCGGTTGTAGTGAGACCCGGGAAAAAACTATGCGGGCCAATGGAACTTCCAGAATGCTACTATGCCACTCTGTACCAGGGGGCTGATTAACGCAGCGCACTTTCGTAGTTATACTGTACCGGATGCACGCGTGGGGACGGGTTGCCTACTCGCACGGGGCCATAAGGAGCCGTGTGCGTTGCGAGGATAGGCAAATCCGCCCGCACCACTGAAAACAGCGTAATAACGCATGTTATCCACTAGATGATAACGCGGTGCACATTTCAGTTTTTGTGGAATATTTTCTAAACGAGCTCTGAGATTTAATTTTCGAAAGCACCACCGGATTTCCCGCGAAATTCCCGATCAAACAAGCCTACATGCGATAGGGTTCTGAACAAAGGTTCTCGAAGAACACGTCTTATTCCGTATTATTATTTGAACTCCGAACCCTATCACATGTAGGCTCGTTTGATGGGAAATTTCGCGGGAAATCCGGTGGTGCTTTCGAAAATTAAATCTCAGGGCTCGTTTAGAAAATATTCCACAAAGACTAAAATGTGCACCGCGTTATCATCTAGTGGATAACATGCGTTATTACGGTTATTACGCTGTTTTCAGTGACCCGTGCATGCGGTACAGTATAACTGCGGAAGTGCGCGGCGTGAATCAGCCACTTGGTATATACAGGGTGGTCCATCAGCCCCGTTCTCTCTTCTGGGTATTCTGTACCGGATGCAGGCGTGCGGACGGGTTGCGCACTCGCACGGCGCAGCAGGCTATCTTGGTGCGGCGATAGGCAAGCCCGCCCCCACGCCTGCATCCGGTACAGAACAACCAGAAGAAAGAATGGCGCCGAAGGACCACCCTGCCACCCTGTAGGTACTTTTGCACAAGAGACGCGAATGTACCGGGTTGTCCTATAGGCTAGGATGTTTTTCAGGGGAAGTAGTTTTTCCGGGTGAGGATGTTGGTACAAACTAGCGTTTTAAGCTCTTGATCTGTTGTTTTTTTACAGTGCCCCAGACAATAGTGGTTCAAGAACAGGCTGACGACATAAAAAGACCTCAAGGGGTGTATTACAGTGAAGTCCACGATTCAGTACACCCCTCGTACACTCAGGCAGAGCAAGCCGAGGAGTACCAACAGACGCTACCAGACTCCTCCCATGTCCCAGAATTGATTCACGATGACCCACACCATAATTATTCGCCCGTTGTTATGGAGGAGCCGCAAGAAACTCCCAATCAAATTCAAACTGTACTTCATCACGTTCCTGAAGAAACTGAAACCATTGTCAAGCCTCAAGAAACCACAGAGTTCCACCAACAGGAAGTGGTTCCCGACGGAGCTACCGTGGAACCCGAACTGCCGTCCAGAGTTCAGATCTCGGATACCCTCACTAAATTCCCCGAGTCAACAGAGATTGTGGTGGACACCACTACTAGTCCAGAACCGTTGGAAAAGGCGATTATGGTTGAGAGCTCGCCTGTCACACCGACGACTGACGAGGTAACGCTGACAAACGGTAGCGCTGACAAAGTTGATGCACACCAACCAGAGAACATCCCGGTCGTAGAAACCGTTGATAACTATGAGTTGCCTACCTCTCAGTATGCAGGGAATCACCAGGGAGGAGGTAGCGTTGGTCTAGGAGTCCAAGGGAACGCCGGTCCAGGATTTCAAGGGAACGCCGTTTTTGGAGGTGGTCTGAACGGCGGTCTAGGACTCCAAGGGAACGGTGGTTTTGGAGGCGGCCTGAACGGCGGTCTAGGACTTCAAGGGAACGGTGGTTTTGGAGGCGGTCTGAACGGCGGTCTAGGACTCCAGGGGAACGGTGGTTTTGGAGGCGGTCTGAACGGCGGTCTAGGACTCCAAGGGAACGGTGGTTTTGGAGGCGGTCTGAACGGCGGTCTAGGACTCCAGGGGAACGGTGGTTTTGGAGGCGGCCTGAACGGCGGTGTGTCGGGTGCACTCAACAAAGGAGCGGGCGTGCTCGGCAACTTTGGCACCGGTGCCAACGGCGGAGCCCTCTTTGGAGGCAACATAGGCGCGGGCATCGGTGCTCCGGGATCTGCAGGCTTCGGAGGATTTGCTAACATCTTTGGGTAAAAAGGCATAACGTGATACTCGTTGGTAACATTATTTACGTCCACAAAGAGGCATAAAAGTTGCAACGTAATTTAAGTTTTTCTCTAACGTGATGTACCAATAACGTCTAATTAGCAAACCAATAAAATTCACATATATAGTTTTTTGCGCAGAAAACCTATGGTCATTGATATCCTATGAAACCTAGTGTGGAACGATGGCGGCGTAGCATTTATCTCACATGCATTAATTACACAGGCATCCTACACAGCCCCGTGCGAGTATGAAACCCATGAAACCCGGCGTCCGCACGTCTGCATCCGGTTATATCAGTACATCTCGGTACATACCAAACAGTGTACTTAGTACACTCAAGGATGAGTCAACTTGCAAGCACACAAGTGTGTACATACTTTGACGGTTGAAGAAATCTTGTATTTTATTTTTCACCTTGCATGGTATTTACGTAGGAAAAACAGGAGGAAAAAGAGTGAAAAAGTGATCGGTGAACTATTTCAATTGTTTATTTTGGTATTTTTACAGTTGTAATTTCTGGTTATACACAGTAACTGATGCAGGCACACTGGAGACGCAAGTGTGTGAATGTTGCACACTTAGCAGGTGTGTGAATATTCATTCGTACACTTAAGGGGGGTAAACGTGTCAATTTATTAGGAAAAATTCACACGTTTACCTCTGTAAGTGTACGAATAGACATTCACACTTATGCAAGTGTGCGACATTCACACACTTGCGTTCTACGCGTGCGGGCTTGCCTTGCCTTGGTCGCTGACCATGGCACCTTGTGGGACCGAGCGAGTAGGCAACCCGCTTAGACGCTAATTGCGGGTACAGTACAACCGAAACAAAGTAAGGGGTGATCAAAGACCCCTTAAGTTCACCCATAATCCAGAATAAAACTAATACCGAACTAAAACCTGCGGCAAGAATAAGAGAGTTACAGTATGGAAAATTTAAGGAACAGATACGATCACCACTTTTCATAAAGGCAAATGAAACCAGCGGTTGGACGAGTCACTGCTGTGGTCCTCCGAACATTCGTCCTTAGGGTCATGAGAGAAAAAATAAGGGACGAACACCGAGTCCCTCAGTTCACCGTGACAGTCCAGTTCACATGCTTGGCAACGCTTGTCATCATCACAGACTAGGTTCACGTACTCTAAGCTTATATGGAGTAAGGGATTCGCGGAAAAAACAGTCTTCACTGTGTCCCCGTGGAGCCAGGAGTGAACGCAGCCCTCTAGCAGGTTTAGGTCAACTCTTTGCAGCGCCGGCGCCACGTCGGGCCGGATGAACAGCAGAAGCTCGTCCGGGCTATCTGTGTTCTCGTCCATCCTCAAGTGCCGCAGCGCAGGTAGCGAGGGAAGCGCACTGACCACCGGCTGAAGTAGGGGGAAGTTTTCTTCTTGGCCAGGTTCAAAGTTTGTGATGAACAGAGTCTCCACGCGGGAGCGTCCGGAGGCCAGAGCCGGGACGAGTTCCGCGCCGACTTCAGCGACACTAAGCAGCGCGGGCTCGTACTCTAGGCTCACTTCGCGCAGGTGCTCGGCGCGCCGAAGGAGCTCGGCAACTCCCGCGACGGCATGCTGGTCCAGAATGTCGGTGTTGACGAAGAGCCTCAGGATAGCGAGTGCTTTGCAGGCTGCCAGGGCCTCCATCCCGGGAAGACAGCAGCATGTCAGCTTGCTGAGGTTCGTCACGCCGGTCAGCAGAGGCGCGATCGAGGTCAAGGTCAAGCTAGACGGGGAGGTCCCGAGGTTAACCCTCTCGAGGGTGACGGCGTGCTCGAACAGGATGAACTTCACGAACGGCTCCATAAACGTGCAGAGCTTGCAATGGAACTTAATCAGTGACGGTGTCACCACAATACTGCCCAGGATGGGTGCGGGTGTGGCTGGTAGTGGGTGCTGGTCGTCGCCGGTGCCGGTATCCAACACCACGCGAAGCTTCTCTAAGCGGGATGTCGATGCCAACGTGCTCAGTAGCATGGGAACATCAGTCGCCATCTTGAAATTGACTAATTGAATCACGACTTGCTTAAGACGCCCCAACATTTCTTGCCTGCAAATTATCGCTGCGGCGTGCGAGGCGTGCGAGGTGTCTTGCACATCCACATCCATCCACAACTTTGCCGCGGCGCACCTGGTTGAGGCGTACGCCCACTGGCGACACCTCTCAGCAGGGAGGTTGATATGCACCTGCTCGAGACACGGCACCAGGCGCAGCACTGGGCACGCACAGTAAGGTTCGGTGCTGTTTACAGCTCGACCTCGCCACACATAGGGGTCCAGGGCAACGGCGGCGAGCCTCTTGCACACGAGGCGGCAGGCGAAGATGTCCGCTGCCTCTTTCAGCTCCTTCAGCACCATCAGCAGCACGTCATCCGGTAGCATCTCCATGGCCTGCAAAGACAAGGTCGGGGTCAGCATATTGCGTAACTAGGGGAGAGCACTTTGCGCCCTATCAACAACAGTCATGGTCGGGGCCGGTCGGGACAGGGAGGGAATGCTCCGACTGGCCGCTTCCTAATCACGCGCTGCGGTAGGCCATTCCACAAAGACCGAAGTGTTGAATAGTTGAGTATAAGTAATTTGCCACGGCGGGACCGGTCATAAATTAAATTACCATAAAAAATTTGGACCCGATCGGATAAGATTCAGGGGTGGTACCGGTGGTACACACTTTTAAAGGGCACGGCTGTACATGGACCCATCAACATGCCGCGCTTTGACCTCCCTCCAAGCAAGTGCCGGCCGAAAACTACTCTCAACTCTCGCAGCCTGTGAACGACCTCGCACGGCTGGGGGACTGCTGCTGTGATCAAAATGGACTAGACTTATCCAGATCAGGGACTATATCGGGACAGCCCGTGAATTGCTTTGCCTCGGGCTGGTCCGCACGGGCGGTGTGGCAGAGGCGGGGCTGGGCGGGGCGGGGTGGCGTGATGGGATGCGGCGGAGCGGGGCGGGAGCGGGGAATCGCAGCAGTAGCGTGGATCAGACTTGCTGCCTCAACTCTTGGGGTCACCGGAACAGCCCGCGGCGGTTCAACTTGCGCGTCGGAAATTGCTCAATTTCCTTTTATAAAATATTATTTAGCAATATTCTGGCGACTGCACGAGGCTGGCAGGAGGGAGCTCGGCTAGGCCTGGCCTCGGGGCCCTTGGCCGTGCCACGCGAGTGGGCGGCGTCTCCACTACCCATCAGCGGCGGAGAGCGGGCGGGGGGGGGTCGGCCACGGGGACATTGAGAGAACAGCTTATTCCTTCTCGCCGAGCTATGGCGGGGACCATGCTCACAGATTTACAAGGGGCCATGCCATGCCATGCGGCCCGCGGAGGCGGCGCGGCAGGGGCTATACGTCTGTTGGCAGACTCGTTTGCTAATGGCAGCGGGGGGGCTCGGCCACGGGGACAGTGAGCGAACAGCTTATTCCTTCTCGCCGAACTATGGCGGGGACCATGCTCACAGATTTACAAGGGGCCATGCCATGCCATGGGGCCCGCGGAGGCGGCGCGGCAGGGGCTATACGTCTGTTGGCAGACTCGTTTGCTAATGGCAGCGGCGGGGCGGCTAGACGTGCATATGGACGCAGCCCCTCCCGGCAGCCAGCCAAGCACGTCAGCCCTCCGCACGCCTCTTCTTGATATGCGGCGGGGACGCCTCCGGGTCGCCCTCCGCCTGTCTTCGTCCCCCTCGCGGCGATATGCCTCGCTCGCGGGAAGCGAGCGGAGCGGCCGAGCAAAGTGGGGCCAAGAAAGGCTTCACATCACTTAGGTATGGACATGCGGCGACGGCGCGCCTTCTTCGCGGAGGTGCTGACGGCGGGCGGGGAGGGCGAAGGGTGGCCTGGGGCCGCGAGAAGGGAGGCCCGGGAGAGTCCCTCTAGAGAGCGCGGGAGGGCGTTCTCCGTGACCCATTTGGCTGGGCGCTCTTGTGCAAATATTTCACGGCGAATGTCCGCAGGGCGGGGCGAAGGGGGGCCCGGCAGCAGGGTCCTCCGCGGGCGGACACGAGGCTGGGGCGGGCGGAGGTCACTGCTGCAGCGGAGGG